TTGAGGGTGTAGGGACAGCTGAGGACCAGCCTCATCCAGACCCCACACCATGTCCGTTAGAGTAATAATAATCATTAGGGCTCTTAAGTGTAGATGCCTCAGGAGGGTCAGGTGTGGTGGGCCACTCCCACTGGTCACGTGCATTAACCCATTTAGGGTTCACAGCTCCCTGGTAAGCTTGGCAATGCCATTTCACAGATGAGAAAGTAGTCAGGGATAGAGCAGGGTGGCCTGTCTGTCTTGACCCTTTGCTCTTCATCACTGGGACATCTGGCCTGTCTCTCTATGACCAGGGTTTTATAGACAGCAGTCCCAGCGCATCCAATCTGGGCAGCCGTTTGGACCCAGCAGCCCTCACAGCTGCCTCTCTGAGCCTGCACATCTAACCCTACTACTGCTGTCTGCCCAGAGGAACCAAGTCCATGGGGCCCCTTGGGTACATGTCTAAGCCTGTTACCCTGTGCCCGGCCACACCATGGCCCTCAGGCCCCAGCTGAATGTTAATGCGTGGTGGGGCCATACACCACCAAGGGCTCATAGGCAGCCATGGGGCTGCCTTGGAGGAGGTGACCACTGATGCTGCTGTAGGACTTGGGTTTCCTTCTCCCCCACTGCCTTTCTGCGCCATCAGTGGGTTGACTCCCCAAGAGAGGGTGGCTTCATAGGCACTGTGGGCTGGGAATTGTGGTATTGGGGTGCTTGTTCATGCCCTGGCCTAGGTGTGGGGCTGCCCAACCTGGCTTGTCCCCCTACCACACCCAGTCCCTTCCATTCTCTTCTTTCTTTATCAGGACACTCCAGTGTCTCCAGCTCCCACAGTTGCCACCACTGGAGGCAGCTCACCCCGTGCAGACAGTAGCTTTGACAGCTTGAGCTCAGGGCTAGAGCTGAGCAAGCCAGGCAGGCTGGTATCCCGGATGGACAGCCAGCCATTTTCTGGCTGCTCCGCGGACCTTGCCATCAGCTACAGTGACAACTTGGACGCAGGACCTCACAATGCTCCGGAGGAGAATGAATATGTGTCAGTGAGGATCCACGTGGAGGAGGCTCCCAGCATAGACAACCTGTCCGGCAACCCTGGGCCACATGCCACCCAGCAGACCCGGGGGGAGGAGGAGTCCCCCTGCGTCGGGTGGGCCCCCTTGGCTCCGTGGCTTGGGGTGGCTGCTGCTGGGGCACTCCTGGCCACGCTCCTGGCCGTGCTGAACCGGCGGCGCCTCCTCTAGTAAACTCCCTAGGCCCTCCCTGCCATGTGTCTGCTCCCTTTCCCGGGGTACATCCAGTCTGAGCCATGGAGCCAGTCCCACCTGCCTTGTCCCTTTAGTGGGGCTGGTGGAGGCTGGGTCAGAGAGGAGCCAGGGGCCACAGGCCTGGCTGGAGGCGGTATTTCTGTCCCAGCTCATGCACGCTGCAGCTCCCTCGCCATCCTTGGCTTTTTGGGCCCTGGGCTGCCCCATGTGCTCTGACCTCGCCCAGCTGGCAATTTGGGTACTCACCCTTGTCCGCTGGAGGAGGTGCCTCTGTCCAGGCCTTATCCCTCCTTGCCCAGGCCACACACCAGGAGTTGCCACTGGAGGGTGCAGGGGGTTGGCAATGTCCCCCATCCTGCCCTGGTCCCTGGCAGCTGACAGCAGATGTCTGAGGTCTTGCTCCTGACACCCAGTGGCCCAGCCTGAGGCCGTTGCCCTGGAGAGCACTAGAGCTGCTTCTGGTCCCCTGCCCCTTGGGTCCTCCATCCATGCTAGGCAAGGGTGGGGAGGAGGTCCAGAGGCCTGAGGACACCCTCTGGAGCCCCTTTCCAGCCTCCTCACCCCCTTCTCCTCTTTCCCTCCCTCTTGGTCCCCATCCTTATGAGGGTTGGGAAGGGGACGTATGGGGCAGAGCTCAGGACAAAGTTTGGATTTCAGCTCCACCCCTTCCGGGGCTGTGTGGCCTGGGCTCATGATTAGCCTTCTTCAGTCTTGCTTCCCAAAATGGACTACGCGTATCATGGCTCATCTTTTAATGTGTTCTTCTGAGATTGAAGCGTAGAGGTGTCTGTCAAGTGCCTGGTCCAGAGTGGGTGGCCGCTAAACTCTTCCCCCACCTCTCCCCTGCCCAGACTGGTAGAGATGAGGGCAGGAGTGGCAGAGTGCCTAGTAGGTAAGGGTGCAACTCTGCAGTATAGGGTGGCCTCGGCCTGCATTCTGCCCCGCCTCTCCCTCGTTCTCTGCTCTTGGGCAAGGTGTTTGCTTCTGTTTTCTCAGCTGTGAAAGAGATGAGTAGTAAATATGCATATATATATATATATATATATATATATATAATCTCGTAGTGTTGTTATGAGGATTAAATGAGTTTATCTCTATAAATCTTAGAATGCTTCCTGGCATTTACTAAGGGTGGGAAACTTGTTATAACTATTCAAATTGGAGGGGCTGGAGCACATGGCTACACCTTTAGAGGTAGGCTCAGACCCTACTGCCTCCCCTGACTTTATATTTGCCCCTTACTTTATCCTGCATATTGGGAAATTGTTGGGGAGTGGGGAGAAAGGCACGTCCACTGGGAAAACTGCGCAGGATAGGGGCTGGGCTGACCCCCAACAGCCAGATGAATTGGGGGTATCCTTGTGGGTTCTTTTCGGGTGGCCATCGTTGGACAAGGGGCAGGCACAGGAGCCTCAGGAGCTGCTTCCATTTCTGGGCTTCCATACAAGGGACAGGGACTAGAGCCCTGGGGAGACACTGGGGCAAGGGTCACTGTGGCCCACCCCTAGGCTCTCAGCCTGCAGACTTCTGCACCTTGCTTTGGCTGCTACAGTCTGTGCTGCCCTAGGGGACTTCAGCAACCTCTACCTTTAATGACCTGTACCTCTACCTCTGAACTTCTCTTCAACCCTCACTGCAAACCCAACAACCTGCACCCTGAAACCAGGAGTGGTCCTTACCTAATTCCCTATCACCCTTACTATTAACCTGCCCTCTGTGCTTCCCCGTCCCTCCCAGATACCCAGGTCAGTGAACAATTCATGCATAGGTGCTAGCTTTAATGTGTTTCCTTCCCAGGATACCTTTGGAAAAAAGTATCTCAAGAAAGCAATGTGGGGCCGCCAAATGGCTCAGTTGGTTAAAAGTGTGAGCTCTGAGCAACAGGGTC